GTGAAACTGTCCAGTGGCAAATATAACATATAACACAGCCTATTAGTGCAACATGATAAACTCCTTTTAAAAAATCCTCTGGAATTTGAATCACATTTTTTAGCAATGTTTGATAGAAGATACCAGACAGAATAAGGATGAACTTCAATGTTTCCAGTACAAGTTATATTACTTAACCCAAACCTAGATTTTGTCAGTGAGCATATTTGGTCTGGGCTATTACAGACTCAAGTCTACTATCTGCATTACACTAATCTAGTCCCTTAAAATTTTTTAGGTGTTGTATATCACGTTCCAATGAAGACATAAAAGTATTATAGAATAATAAATTGACTTCTGTGATCAAGTCTGTGGTCTGTTAGGTGATAGATAGAAGTTTTAATGTTGACACAAATGTGTGAATTAAGTAATAGACAAACACTGATAAAGTCGTTAGTCTTCATAATCCTAAAAAACACTCAGTCTGTGTAAATAATGAATAATTAAAGGGTGCTCTCAAGGAGGTTGGAAATAAAAAGCGATAGGATTACTGCAGATCAGTTACCATCTAAACATATTTACTTTCATAAACATTTTGCTCCAAATGATATTTTTAAATCAATGCCTTGTACTTTTTAAAAGTAAATAAGAGTTCACAAAATTCATCCAATATTTTCACTGGATTTCAAATGAATATATTATTGTTGCTTTGATCGAGGTCGTCATTACATGCTATCTTCTGAAGAAAATAGTCAAACATCATTTATTTTCAAAAAGTTATTGAGTAGGAGAAACCTAGAATCAAAGAGTTGGACAGATCTTTTGGGTAATTTTTTAATACAAAATCCTGAACTTAATCTTTATAACCTTCTGATTTCTACCCTCTATGGCCTCTACCAAAAATCCTTAACAATTAGACAATGTATATATCTTAACTAAATACTATGATTACTTTCTGTAGATAAACAATTTATTTATATGCTTGACCTAAAATTGGAAAGGTGGTATTTTTTATGTTCTCGCATACCATTCAAAATCAAATTAAAAAACCAGTAAATCAATAGGGTGGTAACATTTCACTCGGATGCTTTCAAATTAAAACATTTAAACTTTCTGCATATTACATTGATTATGTATCTTGATATTCTATATTTTGAAGATAAAAAACAAAACAAAAAGAAGATCATAATTTTCATGAGTGTCTTGAGATTTGATTGCAAATAACAGTGACTCATTACATTAAAATTTAGAAGAAACTGACATACAAACCTAAAATGAATTACAGTAACACACAAATTTAAAATCCAAAAGAGTTGAATGACAAGGAATTTTTGTAACTCTCTGCCAATTTAACCATACCCCTATTTTTAAATCCCTAACACAAAGTTTTAATAAGAAATTATTAATGGTTACTTCACCCATAGAGAAATAACAAAACTAAGATTAGACGTTTGTTCTTATGACTTAGCATGTAAAATGTTAACTGGACAATGGCAGATAGAAAATCTGAAAAGAAAATATTTCATAATTCAATAGACGAGGAATATTTGGGCGATAAGACCGTGTGTTTCAGGTTACATCAACAATGATCTGAGCTAAGATCCACAGCCTCTGGCCAGGTTTATAAGTCTCTTGTCAGATATCCTTCATAGGCTTGAACCTTTTATATCAGCTGTGTCACATGGTGACTAATTCTAACAGTGCATTTCAACTAAAGGAAATTTTGACAACTATTTTGTCATGTCAGACATGTTTCATTCTTTATTATAGTTTTATTTTAAGTGCAGCTAATCATTCATGAAGGTATTAACAACAGTTATAGGTATGCTTACTATAAATTAAATTTGCTTCAAACTCCCTTATTGTATCATTGTACCTTGGATGTCATTGGTATAAATAAAAGTTGATGAGGGGTATTTGTCAATGAGACAGCAATCGTACAACCCAAAACACCAAAAGACAAAGAAAGGACAACATGCAAAGTACTTCCCATCAGATGAATAAATACTAATATAAACTGTCAAGGATAAAGTAGGCAGAATATAAGGTAAACATTTCACAGTACAAACTTTCAGTCCCCTGCAAGGAAAGGCCCTTTACCAAATACCAATTTTTTTCTTGCAAGTGTAATGTTATATATTTTAACAGATCAAAAAAGGTGACTTATTATAAAGTTGTGAGTGTAATGTTTTTAATATTAATAAAACTGAAAATTTTCACTTTCAATTTCTTTTTATTTCTTAGCTAAAAACTTTGGAATAAAACCGAACATATATGTTAGACATCACGTACTCGTATCGATTAATAGATGTTTTACAGGGGAAAAAAAGAGAAAAAGAAAACGACTTGATCACAAAAATTACATTAATGCTACACACTAGGGTTAACAATGGCAGAAATTAATGAGTTTAAAGCCCTGAATAATACAATAATTGAAGTTTGGAGATCTCCACCATGTGAAGAAATATAAAACCCTTTCAAAAGTTAGGTGAAATTTTTCATTTTGGCATGACAACAAAAGAAAGATGTATGATTTTGGTAAAAGTAGAGAATAATGTCTAGTCACACAGAAAATGGTGATTTGTATCAAAGAAAGAAATACATCAATTCATATACCATGATGGAAAATTGCTGGATATTAAATTCACAAATTTTACATTAACATTTATCACATTAAGGAATTTTATATAAGAAATGACTTAAGTACACAATGTATTAATTATACAGGTCTTCTTCCCTGACAAGAAATGTGTATGAATAAATAGGCTGTGTGAAAACCCATTAATTATACCTGAACCATGCTGACCCAGGTTAATCCTGACCTTTGACATCTTACCCATAGGCTAATTTTAAAAAAGCTTACAAAGAGTAACTGACTTATAAATAGATGTAAAAGTACAAACTAAAACAGAACTGACAAAATTGTCTATCGTTGACAAATAAATGTTGAACAAAACTTTTCTTAGAAAACAGGAGGGCCACGAACTTCATAACTTAAAAAGCCTATTTTTTCCTATCATTCAGTTTAAAGTGGACAATTGATTCTATTGATTGCAAATCTTTGAGCAAAAAAAATATTCCCTAAACTGTCATTACTGAGCCAAACATTCTTTTCAGGTATCCAACTTTGGTTCAAAACAATTCTGCTCAAATTCAAGTAATCAGGCATGTTGATTGTGTGACGTTTTCAAAATAGAAAATTCTAATTTTTGGCATACTGATAGATCAAATTAAAAATACAACGAAGTAACCCAAATATAATGGGAAAGGGTTTGTCCCTTCCTTGCATCCATTTAAATACATAATTATCAAAAATTATCAAGGTTTTAGTGTTAAATCAGAATTTTTACATCATCAGATACAGATAAATATTTAAAACATATCTTTATTTTCTCTTCAGTTTTCTAAAAAAATTATTTGATATTTTATAGTAATATTTTCAAGTTTGAGAAAAAAAAAATTTTAAATTGGAATTTTCTATGCTTGATATCCTACCAATGATCTTCAACGTTGAGCGATACTTCATTCCTAGAATTACTAAAATTACCATTTATATCAGAGAATTTAGAACAATTGTCTTTTTATACATTGATTTTAAATAAATATTTTAAGAGTGCAATGTACTTAAAATGTTGTTATGCTTTCAATAAATTAAAATCATAATACAATGAACTTATAGAACTTGTTTGCAATTAAATCTTCCTTAACCAAGAATTTAACATACTTTCTGTCAAGTCCACAAATGTACTACACTTGTTTTAAGGTTTAACCTATAACCTAAAAGAACTATGACAGGCTGTAATGGCCCACGGATAATTTATGACATTATTTTATAGGACACAATTCTTTACTTAAGATAACACTTAATACAAGACCATATATGATGATCTCATCCTTCAGTGTTCCCTAGAAATTTAGTCAATGTGTTCAAAAACTAAAGATCCTTTATACCTTTTGGTTGTTTTTTTTTCTAAAAGAAGGTCATTTTCAAATTTAAGGTCAGAAAAAAGTAGATGCAACTTACTTTAACAAGCTCCAGAAAATGTGAAAAAAATCAACATTGGTTTTAGTTAAATCTGACAATTTAATGTTTTAGAACCATGTCAGCTTTAATGTTAAGAAGAAATTTCACTTAATCTGTTAATTCAATTTTTATGCTTAAAAAGTTTGATTACAGCTCCTACTGCTTATTCAGTTTGAAACATTGAACTAAAGATATAATGCTACAAAAACTTGCACTAAAAGTGTAAATTTTCAATATTTATTTTGGAAGTAAGTGCTCTTTTTTGTATTTTTAATCAAATACAATTTTACGCTTTTGTTGTGATAACCTGCACATTTGTCATGAAAAAATCATTGAAATCTCAACTTAATGTCAACAAAGTTTAATCTTCTTACTGGCAGATTGCGGTTCATGTTTCAATGAATAACAAATATTTTTGTGGCATAATTTGATACAAATTTCTGATAGGTAGATAAACATAGTTGTACGAATAGTACAAACAGGAAATCTATATACAAATCATTCCTAATATCCCTGGAACAAAGAGTAACATCAACATTACCGTAAAATGTAACAATGCTATACACAAACTCACCTTTCATGATCAGGTGAAAAAAACAGGTAAAATTGTCCACCATTTAATATCCGATAAACAAATTAAATCTCAAGTGTAAATCCCTACATAGTGTAATAAAATGTTTCAACCTCCTATTATAAGAAAATGCATTTTTTTGCTACAGAAATGTACACAATTTATTCTCTACATAGGTTTTAATCCTTGTCCATCGTCTGTATTTTATGAAAACATTTACACACAACCAACACACAAAGTTTTCACGCTTGGTTTACTACATAAAGAATACAACCCATTCATTGCCTGTATGGAGGACCACGTGTTCTATTCCCTAAACCATTACCTTCAATTTGATGACTGACAACTAAGAGGCCATGAAATAGGGTAAATCTTCATGGTAATATAATTATTATACATAAAGATCATACAAGATAAGAAACCTACTTTAAAAACCCTGTGGTGCTCTCCTCTTGATTTTTATTTCTTCAATACTCAGTTTTCTTGGATACAGCAATTCTGGAAAAGATAAGATACATATAAAATATAGATATATATCATTACTAAAAAAAAAAAGATTTTATATCACAAAAATCAATCACCGTTGCAAAAGACTTGTTCAAATAGTTTTTTGTAATAATTCAGAGATGATGAAAAGATTAACTTTTTCACTCTTTATTCTACGATGAGAGTACAAACTGTACAATGTTTCCTAGTGACAACTTTTCACCACATTTCACATTGTGGTGGCCAACATACATTTTGTGTATACTCTTCTTCATTTAAAAAGAAATGAAAAAAATATTGTTCAAAATGTTTTAATTTCCTAGAAAAAAAAACCCAGATCAAATAAAAACAATTTGCATGATTTAATTACGAGCAAAAGGAAATCGATTCCAGTAACTAGGGAAATAGTTTTCTGCTTCAAAAAAACTTTTATCTCCTTGTTTTTTATACAAGTATTTTTTTCAAGGTAAACAGCTCATTTAAAATTTTCAAATCCCCCCCCCCCCCTCCCTACCAAAAAAATACCCTAGGAAAACAAACCTCATGCACAAATCAAAACTTGAAAGAGTAGGCCTTCAAATATGGAGTCGATTGGGGTTTAAAAAACAATAACATATAATTTTAAAGGCCCACTTGATTAAAGCATACTCAAAGGGAGGTAATCACTCAAAATAAAAATTTAAGAGCAAAACATCAATACCAGTAAGAATAGAGATTTTTTTATACAGGTTACCTCCCTTTTACAAAATTTATGACACATTAAGCAAATATATACAGATAAAAAAATACTGTGATTAAATAATAAATTTATTTTTAATGCAAATGTTTGCACAGAAAATTAAAGTATTATTTACTAAAAAAACAAATATGTTGTTCCTTCAAAATGTTGAAGTTTCAACATTTGATACAACCTTCAAGGGCAAAGTTTGGTCAGTACATTTAAGACCATCACTACAAAACATGGACCTAAGGAGAAAAGCAGGAAAGAGTCTTGTGTCAATTTTGCTCAAGGGAGTGGCAACCCTATCTTTACAATTACAAGACTTATACGTTGGATTACAAGACTTATACGTTGGATATCTACTTTAAGAATATTATATTTAAATCGTACCAGTATGCAAATGGTAGTCTGAAAAATTGTTTGGAAACCCAAATGCATAAACATTTAGAACTTCAAAAGAATTCATTTTGAAATAAAAAAAAAGCTGGCTTGAGTAGCCCTTATATAGTCTTAGATTATCAATTGGTGATTATTGAAAAAAACAAATCAAAAAGGTTTTTTTCTGAGCTTTAAGACATGCCCATAATAATAATTTTTACAAACAGGTGATATGAAGACAAAAACAAATATCTATACACTGTCATAACTACTTAATTGTGAAATCCTTAATGAATTATGTTTTAAGCTATGTATCATCTAAACTTTAAAAAAGAAATATAAAAATTCTATTTTCAATTTCACCCTATCTCTACTACAGAATGATGTTTCCTTTCACTTTAAAAGACCATGTTCATTAGGGGAAGGATTATGTTATGGTTTAACTAAAGAAAGATATAAAGGCTATGATTACAATTGGGGGTAGGGGTTAGGGATAATAAAAATATAGCTCTCTATGGCAAGTATATTTTAGAAACAAGAGGGCCAAAGAATTAAAAAACAGAAAATATTTGCTTGTATCCGAATAGACTCCTCTTAAGGACCTCTTTAAATACTGTTTTGGGTATTGTTCACAAGTTTTTGTCAACTTGAACAGGTCAAATTTCCAACAAGAGAAGGGTATTGGTAGCTTATTTAAAGGTGCAAATATTTCTACATGGTTGACATCCACAGTATTCAAAATCATCCAAGTATGAAACAATAAAGAATTTTAGACCTGTACTTGATTACATGTTCTATTTGTTATTGAATTTTACAACATTATGATACAATGTGCAAGATCTATATCATTAAAATGTTTATAAATGAACTAAAAATCTAGCCGTCAATTTTGTAATTAAAATGCAATGTGCATAATTTCCATTGATTTTCACTTTTACATTGGACAATACGTGAAATGAGAGAATAGATTACAATAATTACATTTACCGATAAGTGGTAATGACAAGCGGATAGTTATGTAACATTTTATCATAGCTTACAGGTATTTGGTTTCTTTTCTTGAAACATATTTCTGATTTTTCAATCATAAGAAAATTAATATCTTTATTATTTGCATAGCTCTGTAGATATGGGTTTAACAAGGTCTGATTTTTGAAATTAGCACTAGAAATTTTGTTTTGATAGGAATTGAATGAGACACAACTAAATGTATAATCATTTAAAAAAATGGTTATATAGGACCCAAAGTTATACTATTGCATGATTATGGTCGGGACAAATCATTACATTAAATAAAACTACTATCTAGAATAAATGATATATACAGATAAGAAAATAGAAACATAATAGTTCTGAAACATCTATATGATAACAAATCATAAGCTTTTAGATTAATTGAGAAAAAAATCATAATTTTTTTTCATTTCGTGGGAAGGACTGTCCTATCTTTATAGTTCCATAAGTAATTACTATATCATACAAGGTTCATCAGTTCAAAATTATTGACACATAAGGAAAATTATCATGCATTTCTGTATTACAGTGAGTATGTTTTATTTGCCAAATCACTCAAATAAATGAAAAATATATATTTTCATATTCATGAATCCCCTTTAACAATTCCCATTCTTTAATCCTGTTTTTTTTTTAGTTTTCATTTTCACTTTTTAAATTTTATTTACAACTGTTTATATTGATTTTTCTTATCCTTTGTTTGGTTATGAGAATGGAACCAGTTTATTGCATTAGAGTTACTTCCCTTTAACCAGTGATCACATTAGTTGCCTTAGGGTTACAGATAAAAATGTGACATGATGATGTATCAGGTGAGATATTTACCTGCAGAACATACCAAAATCTATCTCATTATAACACCATATAGATGTTAATCAACAAATGTAATGATTGGGGAACTGGGGGCAACTAAACTTCAATCTATGGTGGAAAAGATTGAAGTGTAAAGAATCAGAAACAATCAGGGGAAAAAATCATTTCAAGTAAAATGTCTCAACAAAAGACATTTTTTCAAAATAAACCATCCTTTAAAAATATTACAAAAAAATAATAATTCATAGATATAAGAAGATGTGGTATGAGTGCCAATGATACAACTCTCCATCCAAGTCACAATTTGTAAAAGTAAACCATTATAGGTCAAAGTAAGGCCTTTGACACGGCTCACACCGAACAGCAAGCTATAAAGGGCCCCAAAAATGACTAGTGTAAAACCATTCAAACAGGAAAACCAACGGTGTAATCTATATAAAAAACGAGAAACGAGAAACACTAATGAACCACATCAACAAACGACAACCACTGAAAATCAGGTTCCTGACTTAGGACAGGTGCAAACAAATGCAGCGGGTTTAAACGTTTTAATAGGCGCCAACCTTCACCCTACCTGAAACAATAGTGTAACATTACAACATAGAAAGACACACTATAAAATATCAATTGAAATTGCTTAACTCAATCAAAAGACATATTAATAAAAACAAGTAAACATACACTGAACGAATAAATTTGATCTATGACACAATGTAAATACAAAATTAATAAAACAAGGGGGTTAGATGTAAAACAATATCAGAAAGACAACCATAACCTAGGACAAAATGCCGCCAAATAAAATAAAGTACACAGGAAAATAAAAATAATTTTGTCAAAATCTGAGCACCAATAATATGCTGTTTTAAAATTTGATTACAAATTTTGTCAATTGAATGGAAATATTGTAAATTTATCCAAGAGTCCTTCTTTAAAATGATTCATCCCTCATGTATGTCAAAAGCAAGTAATGACAAACTTGACATTTTCAAAAATTTCCTACTTTATGATTTTTTATATTTTAGAAAAGATTGACCCAATATTCATATCTTGAGATTTAATATAATTACACATTATACCCTCTGTATATCTGTATATCTGTCATTTTGTGAATGTTATAAAATATTCCCTGTACAAGTTCAGGGAGAGTTATCACATATCTAAAGATCAACAAAATACCAAAGACACATTGTATCAATCATTAATGGCAAAAGTAGTTAGTCCATGTCGAAAAAGGACTTCCATAATTATCATTAACACTTTTACATATTTTTTAAAGTTATTGACAACTCTTTATGTGAATACAATCAATATTTCAAGGAATTATCAATTCAAGCTGTTTATAACTTAAGGAGGAGCTTAAGGAGCGGCATCAAATAATCTTATTTGAATCAATTGAACATGTATAGATCATAGACCAGAAAATTGTGCTCCAAATCAAGATGTGCATATCATACCTAGAATTATTGTTTGGAAGTATATAGTTCTAATGACGACAAACATTACATGTAGTTCACAGAATGTTACAAAAGACCACAATTATTTCCACTTCAGGGTTTATTTTTCTTAATTTGGAAGATAAACCAATATTTAAACATGGTATAGATTTATTTATGTTAGCTAAATCCAGGTAATGCCACTTATGTACAGAGCTAGTGATAAGTTAGAAATTGTACAGAATTCACATACTGTTCTGTGATTTTTTTTGTGCCGAAACATCCCCCCCCCCCCCCCCCCCCCCCCCCCCACTAAAACAGAAAAAGAGAAGGTTGAAACAAACAACAACAAAAAAGGGAACTTTACATTTTTTTAAGTTCAAAATTGTATTTGATTGATTGACTTGACCATTAGCAAATACTACATCTATTAAAGAGTCTGAGTAAAAATTATACCATAAAACTCAATAAATCGATTAAATAGTTTTTGAAAAGTGAGAAATCCTAAGGATTGAGGATTTATTTTGACAATCACAAGACGAGGGCATGTAGGGTAGAGTAAAAAAATCCTTATAACAGGCCAGCTATGGTTCCCTATTAAAGTATAATGGTAAACTCTTTGATGTGTATTGAGCCAGGACTTCTCATCA